ACATATCAGTAAGTATAAGTTGCTCTCCCATCTTGTTGGGTCATCACAGAACCAGTGAGAAAGATACATTATTGAATTTAAGTAGAAACAATGATATAAATATTGTTCATAGGTTGAAGAAAGTTTATGTGTGTATTTTGTATGGTTGCCGTATCCGCAGTTGAAATATACTTAACGATAGGAACACTGAAGGGAATCGTCAAGTTGACTGTTAATTGAAACCCAGAATCGGTTAATATTAAAAAAACAAAATCCACTGATCCCTAAAAAAAAAAATATGGGTTGAATTCTAACATCAGAAAATTACTATAGTAACTAACCTACCCTGAATGTTGTTTTCGATGCCTGCCAAGTATTATCTAGTATGAAGATGCGTATCTAAACAAACCTTAATGACTTAATTACTACTCTCGTGAGCTTTCATTCTAAACCAAATTTAGTAAAAACAAACTTTATTTCACTGTTATTTTCTGTTACCAATCATGTATTCAATTATCCCAGCATCATATACTTTATAACGTTACCTGTGACCAGTGCCACTCTGCCAGTAAAACTTGGACCCGACATGTGGCAAAAACAGAAAGTTGTTAAGTAGCCCCTGAACCAAGGCTGTCTGGCGTATGTCTACATTACAGTAAATTTTCTTCTCCTCTGCTGATATAACACAGTTGCCATTTCTAGCCACAAATGACTTGTATAATGTTTTAATTTGGGGAACGAATAAAAAATGCTTGATAATAGGGATAATTTTAGTTGTCTACATAATTATTCTATAGTTTAAAATTAAATAATTGTTAAACAGAACAATTTTGACTTACTTTAGGAAGTGAGAAGCAATGGAAAAGACGAATTAATTATAGGAAATAGAAAAAGAGAGACATGCCAGGAATAACATAGAACACGAATAAACCTGTGAATGAAACTTGAGTTCTCAGTTTAGTGAAAAACACCTTGATGATAGAGTAGAAGGCTGAGAGGCGGCTGGTAAGTACGGCAAGAGGCGATAAGTTATGGAGATAAGATACTGTGATATTAAGGCCAGGTTGAACAGTCATATAGAGAGATTGGGATGACCTGTCACACCTGTCATTTGAGTCCACATACCTCATCACCATGCTGAGCTGCTGCTTGCAGGCAGAGTCAGTTACCTCATCAGTTATGATAGAGAAAACCTATTTTATAACATTCTGAAGGATATGGTCATGAATCTGTTCTCCACAAATGTGACTCAACTGGTTCTGGATATTACAAGATGTGTACAGAGCATTCTTGGCAGCTGTGCGTAGATGCATACACAGAACCCTGTCTCCAGGGCCAGAAAATTGCCATGGTTGGCAGTCTCACAGTGGCGATCAGCTCCTTCAGACTGGTGGCGCGTGTCTCTGTACCCACCGTGGCAGGACATGTCTGCCCCTTATTCATCGACTCGGTTGAGGTCGAAGGTCCAGGACTTGGGTTCACTTCTCTGTTTCCTGTTCTGTGCCTCCACTTCGTACAGTACTTTTGGGCAGTAACTGTACTCCCTCTGGAGGGAGTCTCTTGGCTCCGACCCTTTCTGCGAATGTTGTAACGCTTCACTCCCACTAGGCTCTCCCTGATGATGGATCCGTGTCTCTGAAGTATATTTGCGCTCCTAAGCACTTTTTTTTTTTTTTTTGAGGTTAAGGTGGGGAAAGGATGGAAGGCATGCTGGGGCTCAAGGCACAGCCAGACATGAGGGATGGAGAAGTCACAACATATAGTCGTGGGGGGAAAGGTTGGAAAAGAAGTTTAATGAGTTAAACAGAGGGGGACGACACCCCTTGTTTTGCATATTACAGAGTTTGTTGGCTAACTAAGCTAACCTAGGATTTAGAATGAGGTTGCACAATGGTTATTTTAGTAGACAATGACTAGATTGATTTTACAATTACAAGTTTATTAACATCTTATACTGTATTGCGTTATGGACTCACTTGATTGTGACTTGTTTAATGAGAATTTATATCATCTAAGTTTTAATCTAAGGTGGATCACTGTGGCGGACATAGATGGGTCGCGGGTTGGGTTGTTGTAGTGCGGGCAGACTCCGGGGCCACCAGGCGTGGGGTCTCCCCCCGTTGATGTCTTCCCCGCGTAGGTGGTCTGGGCTGTGAGGGTCGTCCAGGAGCTTGTCCCAAACCTTCTTCCCAAGGCGATGGAACCTGAAGTTGAGGGCCTCTGTTTTATTTCTTAGGTGGATGGTTTCCACTGTCTCCTGGTAGGGTGGCGCTTGGCCACTGGCTGACCTCAAACACTTCTTTTGGAAGCTCTGTAGTTGTTGTAGTCTAGTCTTCCCGAGTGTGACGAGTGGTATAGATGGGTACTCCAACACAGGCCTCACCAGCGCCTTGTACAGGTGAACTTGTATCTTCTGAGGCATCAATTTAAAACGTTGTAATTTGGCTGCGGCGACTTTGGCTTTATTTAGTCTGTCCTTCACGTGGGGAATGATGCCCGTCCGAGAAATGAGGCCGAGCAACCTGCCTTGTTTAGACTTTAGAGTACTCAATCTCTTCGTCGTCGATCATCAATGGGGCCGGCTTGAATTTGGCTATGGGTATTGTTAACGCTCATAGGAGCGTTATTGGTTTGTTGCTGGAGAAATAAACCCTCAACGTTGACGCGTACCATATAATTCGGTCAAAACCTGTTAAAGAACAATTCACATATAACAAATGCTGTCACCTCAGGACACATAGAATGAATAATACAATCAATATACAGTACATAGCCTGTTAACATCTTAAGTATAACTCACATGTTACATCTGTTGATACATCAGGTGACAAGTTGTATAATATGATCAAATTACAGTACATAAATATACTTATTAAAGTTATTTAGAGTTTATATTTACGTTTTAGGGTCTTGGGTTCGACCAGCGTGTTGTTTCTTCTGCAAGAATTGGTAGACTACTGAGCAATCGCCATCCAATCGCCGCCCTAGACGAGGGCATCTGTTTTATATTAGACGACCAACAAACACGTTGTCAGCGGTAACATCTCAACCTCTCTCTCTCTCTCTCATGTTTATCTTACTGTGGCGGTAACAGGTATGACCTCAAATTTCGTTTTGTTTGTTTTTCTTTTCCATTTATTTTCATACTCCGAGATCTTCTCTATTGCCCGAGCAGTGAGTCGCGCCATCCTTGCTGTGGACCTTCCTGGGCAGGTGACGATCTGTGTTACATCGTCGGCATACATGCCACACCGGACTGATTCCCGCATTGACCTCTCATCTACCTCAGGCAACACTCGTGTCGTGACGTCAATCATCCATCCAACTTCTGCTGCACCATTCAGTTCCGTCAAGCTCTCCTGAAGCGCCATGGTCTGGGTTTGAAGCATCCTTATAGCCTGTATAATACTTTGCCTGTAGTTGTCGTTATGTCTTCTTTCTTCTCTGTCCCTCTCCGCTGTCTATGGCTCTAATCGTCCTCCTTGTTCAGTAGGTCTACTGGTGCCTTCCACACCCCTTGGTTCTATTTGAGTTAGTGTCAATCCTTGACCTGGAACCATGGGCCCAACTGGGGCTGGTTTTCCCATTCAGGCGTTGCCGGGGCTCGTATTACTGTACTCATCCATCTACCTCTTCCTGCCCGTTCCCAGGCTCAGGTGGTATCTTCCAAGTGGTAAGTTCCTAGTGGTATATTCTTACTGGTATGTTCCAAGTGGTATGTTCTGACTAGTATGGTCTGACTGCGGACCTTCCGGCCAGTAATCATCAGTCCTGGGTGGTATCTGGCCAAGGCCAAAATAAACCCGGGGTTAAATTGGGTTGGCTCATTTTATCCCCGGGTCTAATTTGGTGAGGGTTTGTTCTGGCCTGCTACACCGGGTCTTCCCTATCTTGTAGTATGTCATAAGTCTTCTTTCTGGTGCTATTCTGGCTCTTGCAACATTTTCTTTAAATTTCCTCAGAATTTGCAAGCGTAACTATATGCTGTCTTAATATATCCTCGCCACATTTAGTGTTCTTCCAAAGAACGAGGAATGACAGTCACGGTTACTGTTACATTAATCCTCTTTATATCTGGTGCATTGTGGCAATAAAACCCTCTCCACTGTCGCGCCATCCTTGCTGTGGACCTTCCTGGGCAGGTGACGATCTGTGTTACATCGTCGGCATACATGCCACACCGGACTGATTCCCGCATTGACCTCTCATCTACCTCAGGCAACACTCGTGTCGTGACGTCAATCATCCATCCAACTTCTGCTGCACCATTCAGTTCCGTCAAGCTCTCCTGAAGCGCCATGGTCTGGGTTTGAAGCATCCTTATAGCCTGTATAATACTTTGCCTGTAGTTGTCGTTATGTCTTCTTTCTTCTCTGTCCCTCTCCGCTGTCTATGGCTCTAATCGTCCTCCTTGTTCAGTAGGTCTACTGGTGCCTTCCACACCCCTTGGTTCTATTTGAGTTAGTGTCAATCCTTGACCTGGAACCATGGGCCCAACTGGGGCTGGTTTTCCCATTCAGGCGTTGCCGGGGCTCGTATTACTGTACTCATCCATCTACCTCTTCCTGCCCGTTCCCAGGCTCAGGTGGTATCTTCCAAGTGGTAAGTTCCTAGTGGTATATTCTTACTGGTATGTTCCAAGTGGTATGTTCTGACTAGTATGGTCTGACTGCGGACCTTCCGGCCAGTAATCATCAGTCCTGGGTGGTATCTGGCCAAGGCCAAAATAAACCCGGGGTTAAATTGGGTTGGCTCATTTTATCCCCGGGTCTAATTTGGTGAGGGTTTGTTCTGGCCTGCTACACCGGGTCTTCCCTATCTTGTAGTATGTCATAAGTCTTCTTTCTGGTGCTATTCTGGCTCTTGCAACATTTTCTTTAAATTTCCTCAGAATTTGCAAGCGTAACTATATGCTGTCTTAATATATCCTCGCCACATTTAGTGTTCTTCCAAAGAACGAGGAATGACAGTCACGGTTACTGTTACATTAATCCTCTTTATATCTGGTGCATTGTGGCAATAAAACCCTCTCCACTGTGAACATTGTACCCAAGTACTGCTTCAGTAGAACTGACGGCCAGACCACAACAACACTACTGCCGCAACACTCGAATTATTAACCGTAAGTGTTAATATTTTAATGCTAGGCTTAATGTTTCTCACCAACTCTTGTATAGAGATTTAACTATGCTTTATGGCACCTGTAGATGAATTGCCTTCCTTTAATATTTTGATTACTTAAAGCGGTATCGCACTTGCCTCGCAAGCAAGATGTCACAGGTTCGATTCCCGCGCCGGTGGAAGTTGTTTGGACATACTTCCAAGCCCCAATTAGTCCCTGTTCACCTAGCAGTAAAGAAGGTACCTGTTGTAAGTCGAAAGTTGCGAATTCGTATTCAGGGAGTTGTTGGAGCTTCCAATTGTAACGGGCCGAGTTTTCTCTTTTCAATAATTTACCATCCAGCTATTCTTTTCTGTTAGTATTCGAGTTATTCATATACTTATATGTTCTGTGTAGTACTCTTTCCAATGAGTATCCTGTTTTATATACTTATCCTTCTTCAGTTCTTTACACACATACTTACTTTTATATATTCTTGCTTATATTCTTATTTGTTCTTTATCTCTATATACCTTATATTCTTATATAAGTAACTCTTATGCTTCTCTGCTTATGTTTTCCAAGTCAATGTTCTTTCTTTAAATTTCCTTTCATATATTATGATCTCTTCCATATATTTTGTTCTAGTTATATTCTAAACCATGGATTAACCTGGGGAACCATGTCTTTCTTATTACCACACTTATTATACTTACACCGGTAGACCTGCCACCACCCAGGATTTTTCTAGAATATAACATCTCTTAGTTAACTGTTAGGTAGCGAGCTTCTAGGCACGTGAGTTAGTTATTTTCTGAGAACCAATGTGGGAAAGGATAGAGTGGTGATACTCGTAGACGTAGATAACTAATTCAATATTTATTAACACAGTGATTGGATAAGATGCATCATAGATTCACTCTGACAAAGCAGAACTGCAATTTATTTCTTAAGTCATCAAACACTTCAAGAACTTATTACCTCATTAAATATCTCCAAATACTTATTACTTCAGTCGACAATTGTGGTATTGTCACTCTGCCACATGATATTCAGTACTGGGTATACACCAGATATCACTGGACCCTCAGGTCTTACCTTACCAAGTAGCAAATTAACTCTTCACTTCTTGGTTATATCATTATACTCTCAGATTATCATTTCATGGTCACTACCAATGAATACATAACACACTGGACAACTCCACAATTATCTCAACATACAATACCTCCTGTTAATTCACAAGGAACGACATGGCACTTTTAACTCTCATTCAGTGGTTCAATACTTAACCTGGGATACTATATTTCTGCTAGTTATCCCCCAAACAAGATACCATAATACTTAGGCCTATGTAACTGTGAGGAGTGCCCCAGGGTAACGCTGGTCTCTACAACAAATGAAGATCGCTGTTAGGGGTCGGTTGTAGACCGACACACGCTCAGGGAGTGGGCGCCTGATTTGCAGGAAACGGACTTCCCAGTTCAGTCCTGTCGAATTAACGGCATCGTCCAACCCGGTTACCGCCCCACGTTAGCCGATGAGTATTCAGCTCAACACACTGGAGAGACGTTGAGGAAGTCACGAATGCGTAAAGGTCTAACTTCAACTATACAAAACATACGCCTGGCAACGGTTCAGACAATATCTAAATCTCTACGTTACTCGACTTAATTGGCACAGAATTCACTATGTTAACACATGAGCACTGATATTCACCAAAATTGACTAAGTTAAACTGAATTAATAGGCGGCGGGAACACACGTTAACATACCTGGAGAGACGTTGAGGAAGTCACGAATGCGTGATTCTCCCTCGTGTAGAGGTATATACGTGCACCCACGGGGCAGCTTGGGCCTCCGTATTCATACCAGAAGGGTCGATCTTACCAACAACATAACTTCTCTATCATTTTGGATCACTGTATACTTAGTTATGAACTCCTGTGTTCTTGATCAGGGTAATTTCCTATGTCTATTCATATAATCTAATCAGAGGTTGAGCTTGCCAGGAAAAGGTGGAATATACACGTCGATAACATTAATTCTGCAAGCTCAGGCCTGAGGCGAACAAGGAGCTAGTCACGGGGAGGCGCTAGATCTTGGAGATTATACCAGTTGACAGAATAGTTCAGGAGATTAATGACTTTCTCAAATAGACAACTGACACGAATTAAACTATAAACATCAGATTCTCTGATGTCGAGGCGACAAAATGATATAACTTCAGGCGCGATCAGAAACTCATGGATACCCCCACGGACGACATAAAATACGCCACTGTAGCTGGCAAACTCGACACTCACTTACTTGACACGTTCTACGAACGATAAGGACAGTTGAAGCATTCTACCCCACTCACAATGGATCTTGAATGTTCCAACTGTAAACAGACATATCTAAGTTGACTCAAAACAAGGGTGTTCTCTCTCACACTCAAATTAATTTTATAGAGAGGCTGGTTTCAGTAAGTCAGAGAAAATGGGATAACGGAGGACTGAGGTGTCTTGAAGTGATGAGAAAACGGACTACTCAGATGGAGGACTCAAACGAAAGCCGAGTTACATGTTTTGTGGGCTATTGAGAGTAATATGAATCATTTGATTTTGGCGCTAACTGACGTGTAAGACCGTGGTCATTACAAAGCTTTCCCCTCCCAAAGATTCAATATTATGCGGTATAGTCGACAAAACATTCACAGTAAATACACAATTTCAAACACAATATCTTGCAGTACTGGGGTAATGGTCAACAATACAGGTAACACACATGTTACAAAATTTTCACATACATAAAATTTTGCAACTCAAATGAATAATCACAAAAACTCCCAGACATGGGCAGATAAAACTAACAAAGCAATACTGGTCATGACCCACAGAAGAACATAATCATACATCAATAGTACAGACATAATAATAAAAACAGGCCGGCCTTAATTGTAGTTTTTGTACATTTGTAACTACACCATCCACCAGGATGACAGGTAGTTTCCATCTAGGCGATTGATCACATATGTATAACACTGGGTCCAAGCACCAAATTCAGCAATTGAGATCTCAAGCTAGGAGTAGTTAGGCGGACCCCATCCAGTCACCGAAGCATTAGGGTTGACCTTACCACGGAAGAATCATTGTTCACTCACGAGACGAGGCAAGATCTAAGTGGTCAGAGCATGGACTCAAATAGACTATAATGCCAGCGACCCGGTCCACATGAAACCCCCAAAACCTCGGTTCCCTTCTGTACTTTGCAATGCAAGAGTCTTAAACTGCACTAAGTCCATGTACTCCTGTACACGCCTAGCCGTAACTCTGCAATGCAAGCGTCTTAAACTGCACTAGGTCCATGTGTAACGGGCCGAGTTTCCTCTTTTCAATAATTTACCATCCAGCTATTCTTTTCAATGAGTATCCGGTTTTATATACTTATCCTTCTTCAGTTCTTTACACACATACTTACTTTATATATTCTTGCTTATATTCTTATATGTTCTTTATCTCTATATACCTTATATTCTTATATATTCTTATATAAGTAACTCTTATGCTTCTCTGCTTATGTTTTCCAAGTCAATGTTCTTTCTTTTCATTTCCTGTCATATATTATGATCTCATCCATATATTTTGTTCTAGTTATATTCTAAACCATGGATTAACCTGGGAAACTATGTCTTTGTTATTACCACACTTATTATACTTACAACGGTAGCCTGCCACCACCCAGGATTTTCTAGAATATAACATCTCTTAGTTAACTGTTAGGTAGCGAGTTTCTAGGCACGTGAGTTAGTTATTTTCTGAGAACCAATGTGGGAAAGGATAGAGTGGTGATACTCGTAGACGTAGATTACTAATTCAATATTTATTAACACAGTGATTGGATAAGATGCATCTTAGATTCACTCAGACAAAGCAGAACTGCAATTTATTTCTTAAGTCATCAAACACTTCAAGAACTTATTACCTCATTAAATACCTCCAAATTCTTATTACTTCAATCGACAATTGTGGTATTGTCACTCTGCCACATGATAGTCAGTACTGGGTATACACCAGATATCACTGGACCCTCAGGTCTTACCTTACCAAGTAGCAAATTAACTCTTCACTTCTTGGTTATATCATTATACTCTCAGATTATCATTTCATGGTCACTACCAATGAATACATAGCACACTGAACAACTCCACAATTATCTCAACATACAATACCTCCTGTTAATTCACAAGGAACAACATGGCACTTTTAACTCTCATTCAGTGGTTCAATACTTAACCTGGGATACTATATTTCTGCTAGTTATCCCCCAAACAAGGTACCATAATACTTAGGCCTATGTAACTGTGAGGAGTGCCCCAGGGTAACGCTGGTCTCTACAACAAATGAAGATCGCTGTTAGGGGTCGGTTGTAGACCGACACACGCTCAGGGAGTGGGCGCCTGATTTGCAGGAAACGGACTTCCCAGTTCAGTCCTGTCGAATTAACGGCATCGTCCAACCCGGTTACCGCCCCACGTTAGCCGATGAGTATTCAGCTCAACACACTGGAGAGACGTTGAGGAAGTCACGAATGCGTAAAGGTCTAACTTCAACTATACAAAACATACGCCTGGCAACGGTTCAGACAATATCTAAATCTCTACGTTACTCGACTTAATTGGCACAGAATTCACTATGTTAACACATGAGCACTGATATTCACCAAAATTGACTAAGTTAAACTGAATTAATAGGCGGCGGGAACACACGTTAACATACCTGGAGAGACGTTGAGGAAGTCACGAATGCGTGATTCTCCCTCGTGTAGAGGTATATACGTGCACCTGCGGGGCAGCTTGGGCCTCCATATTCATACCAGAAGGGTCGATCTTACCAACAACATAACTTCTCTATCATTTTGGATCACTGTATACTTAGTTATGAACTCCGGTGTTCTTGATCAGGGTAATTTCCTATGTCTATTCATATAATCTAATCAGAGGTTGAGCTTGCCAGGAAAAGGTGGAATATACACGTCGA